CTAAATCAAAGCACCTTGTCTGATGTATTCAATGAAATGTACATGAAAGAAGGATCACTGAGTAAATACACACACACACACACACACACATATATATATATATATATATATATATATATATATATATATATATATATATATATATATATATATATATATATATATATATATATATATATGTATATATATATATATTATGAGATCGACTAAGTCCGACATTTATTTAAATCTATTGTGAATTATTTTTATTTAGACCATTTCATAACATATGATGTCATTTGTTTACATTAAGATACGCTTCCACCAGATATGATCGTTAGAGAGAAATTCATGGGAATTTAGTGGCTTAAAAATAGTAATTTTTCTTTGTTCATCAGACGCTACCTGTGGGGCTAAATGGCATAGCACATCAGGTTATGCGATGGGTCTGTTTAGGATACAGGTTCGAATGCGGTCGGTGGACACATATTTCCTGAGAAATTTCTCGAACATGGAGACCGGTAGATACAATTAATACTCTTTATTATAAACAGAGCATTTACTTTAATATTTGTATCTATAAAAATAACGTATGAACAGATATATATATATATATATATATATATATATATTTCAGACATGTTTCCGTTAATATGACAGATGAGGAAAATTTAATGAATTTTTCTTGCGTTTTTCGAGTATTGTTATTATTTTCGTTTGGGGTGGGTAAGCGGGTGTTAAAATTGTCAGTAGTGTCTATGGTCGCAATCAATTTCGGGCACTTCTTTAACCATTTTCATTGTTCTTCATTTATTTTCACTCAAGGTTGTCTTTTGTGCGATGTATATTGTTAGATAGTGGCATTGACTCTGATGATATACATACATATATACATACATATATACACACACACACACACACACACATGTATGTATATATCAGGTCATCCCATAAGTTCTGTCCGAATTTTGAATAAAGGAAACAAGTGACCAAATGTTACATTTAATTACAGATTCAATCAACAATGTATTTTTTGCTGATTATCTATGACTTCCTTCCATCTATTAACAAGCTGACTAATTCCATTACAGTAAAATTCTTTTGGCTTTGATTCGAAGAACTCAGAAATGTCAGTTTTAACCCCTTCCTGTGTTACAAAAGCTGTTTCTGCCAAATGATTCTGTAAGCTACGAAACAAATGGTAGTCTGAAGGAGCAAGATCGGGAGAATAAGGTGGATGAGGAATTTTCTCCCAACCAAGTTCTTCGATCTTTTGTGACGTGATTCTTGCTGTGTGGGGTCACGCATTGTCCTGATAAAACATCACCTCTTTTCGATTCACTAGAGCAGGTCTTTTTTCCTCAGAGCTTGGTTCAAACGCTCAAATTGCTGACAGTATATTTGAGCATTAATAGTTGCATTAGGTGGTAAGAATTCAAAGTGGATTATTCCTTGGCGATCCCACCAGATTGAGAGAAGAACATTTTGCCCATGAAGTTCCCTTCTCGGCTGTGACTGGGGTCCTTCCCTATTGCCAAGCCACTTCTACGACGTTTAAAATTTCGATAAAAGATCCATTTTTTGTGGCCAGTCACAAGTCTACCCAAAAAAGGTGAAATAAGTTGGCGAGAATGGGGAGAAGATGTCAACTCGGGATTTGAGGTTGTTTTTAGACAATTCATGAGGCACCCATTTTCCAAGTTTAGGAACTTTTCCAAATTGTTGAAGATGACGATGAAGAGTTGTATAGTTTGAACTGAGAACCACTGCCAATTCCTCAACTGATAAAGCAAGATTTTCTTCAAGGGCTGCTTCAAGAATCTTTTCATAAAACTCAACTGAACGGCCGGTTCGATCTTCATCTTCAAGGGTGAAATCTCCACCTCTGAATTTTGCAAACCATCTTCTGCAAGTTCTTTCATTCACACATTCCTCTCCATAAACTGAGTGAATGTTTCTAGCCGCTTCGGCTGCTGAGTTTCCTTTCTTGAACTCATAAAGCACTATGTGCCTCAAATGATTCTTGGGTACTTCCATGTTAGCAGGGTTTTAATCAAACAAAATTTAATTTTATTATTCTCTGAAATAAAATTTGATCAGTTTAAATGCATCTAAACAAAAAATAATGTTCAGCTCCATTAGACATTATAAAATATATTTAAATTTCGTTCATTTTAAAAAAAGGTAAAATTCCGACAGAACTTACGGGATGACCTGATATATATATATATATATATATATATATATATATATATATATATATATATATATAAAAGAACATTCGGACAAAAGTTGTATAATTCATTGCCGAAAATAAAAAAATTATTATTAGATCACATGAGAAATTGTATAAAAACTAAATAACATCACCTTCTCTGTCGTATTCAATGAAATGTGCATATATATATATATATATATATATATATATATATATATATATATATATATATAAATTTAGTTAATAAATAAAAATTCATTGGGATTATCTTTCGCCTTGAAGTATTGAAAATACGCTTCTCTTCAATGTAAGATAAGTCTAACGAATTCATTAAAAGATATCAAATTTATATTCGACACTTAAAAATACAAATCGTTAATCATTGATTCTAATTAAGTTTCAAACCAGATCTATACTGAACTCTTAAGCGTCAAAAACAACATAATTTGATTTGGTCTGGTTTATTTTGATTTACGGCATATCAACACCTTAATGGGTTATTTTATACCGACACAATTTTCATTGCTGGTAATATTTTCTATCTATCTATAATTTTTGCAATATTTTAATTTTACTACGGTATATTTACAATATGAAATAAATGTAACACATATTGTATATTCGTAATGTTTATTATGCTGACAGTAGTAAATTACACACACACACATACATATATATATATATATATATATATATATATATATATATATATATTTGGAAGTGCTATCTGATGATCAGGCGTCCTTTAAAAGGGCTCTGGTGAAATAAATTATTACAATGATACCTTAAAGTGGTCTGTTTTTCTTTAAAATATTAGCTCTGGATTTACATTGAGCTCTCAGGATTTCATCCTCCTTGGGATTACCCATACGGATTACCAAGTTCTTCATAACTTAACTATATATATATATATATATATATATATATATATATATATATATATATGAAGAAATATAGTCTTAATGTGTGCTATATTTATGGGATAAAGTGCTCGATATCGGAGATAGAGCTTGTGTAAATATAAAAGTGAACAGAGAAGTCAACACTTAGAGGCCTCTAAGTGTTGACTTTATGTTCATTTTTATATATATATATATATATATATATATATATATATATATATATATATATATATTCAAACAGGTTTAGTTAAATAATTTAGACATATCATATCGATTTTTTTCGTTGTGATACTATCATATTCGCGGAAAAATTTTTCGTAGATTTAGAAAATTGAGTAAGAAAAATACCAAAATTTTCTTTTGAATAGTTCTTATTCTCCCAAGAACTTTAAAACTCAACTGTTGAAAACAAACTGTTGAAATGTTTTAAATTCCTAGAAAGATATAAATATACTCACAGACAACTTAACCCTCTGAAGATCGTCTTAGATGAGAAAGTACTTGGGATAAAAAAAAAACATTCGAAAAAAAATTTCTGTACTTTTCTTACTCAATTTTATAATGTGCCAAAAAAATATTCCGAGAACTTTGAAGTCTATTTTTAAACGAGAGGGATTTCGGCACTTCCCGCTTGTGGATATCCTTTCCGGCACTTCTCGATTATGGATATCCACTCTGGCACTTCTCGTTTGTGGATCTCCATTCCGGCACCATTCCGGCATTTCCCGCCTGTGAATCTCTATTCCAGAACCATTTCGGCATTAAATGTTTGTCGATTTCAATTCCAGCATTTTTCGCTTGTGGATCTCCACTCTGGCACTTCTCGTTTGTGGATCACATTCTGGCACTTCTCGCTTGTAGATCTCCTTTTCGGCACATCTCCCTTGTGGATCTCCATTTGAGTACCATTCCAGCAATTCCCGCTTGTGGTTCTCCATTCTGTAACCATTTCAACACATCTCGCTTACACGTGGATCTTCAATTCGGCACTTCTTGCTTAGGGATCTCCATTCTAGCACCATTTCTATACATCTCTGTTGTGGATCTCTATTCCGGCAACATTTCGGCTCTTCTCGCTTGTGGATCTCCATTCCGGCACCATTCCGGCATAACTCGCTTACAGGTCTCAATTCCAGCACATCTCTCACGTGGATCTTCAATTCGGCACTTCTCGCTTGTGGATCTCTATTCCGGCATTATTTTTACACTTCTCGCTTGTGGATCTCCATTCCAGCACCATTTCGGCACTTCTCGCTTGTGGATTTCCAATCCGGCAACATTCCGGCACCATTTCGGCACATCCCACTTCTGGATCTCAATTCCGGCAACATTTCGGCATTTTCGCTTGTGGATCTCCATTCCGGCACCATTCCGGAACATCTCGCTTGTTTATCTCCATTCAGGCACCATTTCGGCACTTCTCGCCTGTGGATCTCTATTCCGGCAACATTTCGGCTCTTCTCGCTTGTGGTTCTCCATTCCGGCAATTCTCGCTTGTGTATCTGCATTCCGGCACCATTCCGGCACTTCTCGCTTGTGGTTATCCATTCCGGCACCTTTCCGGCACTTCTCTCTTGTAGGTCTTCATTCCGGCACCATTCCGGCATTTCTCGCTTGTAGATCTCGATTCCGGCAGCATTCCGGAACTTCTCTTGTGGATCTCCATTCGGCAACATTTCGGCACTTCTCGCTTCTGGATCTCTATTCGGGACCATTTCGGCACTTCTAGCCATTGGATCTCTATTCCGGCCACATTTCGGCTCTTCTCGCTTGTGGTTCTCCATTCCGACACTTCTCGCTTGTGGATCTCCATTCTGGCACCATTCGGCACTACTCGCTTGTAGGTCTCCATTCCGGCACCATTTCGGCACTTCTCGCTTGTGGATCTCTATTCCGGCACCATGTCGGCTCTTCTCGCTTGTGGTTCTCCATTCCGGCATATCTCGCTTATGGATCTCCATTCCGGCACCATTCCGGCACCATTCCGGCTATTCCCGCTTGTGGTTCTTCATTCTGTAACCACTTCAACACTTCTCGTGTACGGGTCTCAATTTCAGCACATCTCTCTGGTGGATCTCCATTTCGGCACTTCTTGCATGGGGATCTCTATTCTAGCACCATTCCTATACATCCTTTTGTGGATCTCCATTCCGGCACTTCACATTTGTGGATATCCATTTCGGCACTTCTCGATTATGGATCTCCACTCTGGCACTTCTCGTTTGTGGATCTCCATTTCGGCACCATTTCGGCACTTCTCGCTTGTGGATCTCCATTCCGGCACCATTCCGGCACTTCTCGCTTGTGGATCCCCAATGCGGCACCATTAAGGCACCATTTCGGCACATCTCGCTTGTAGGTCACCATTCCAGCACCATTTCGGCACTTTTCGCTTGTGGATCTCCATTCCGGCACCATTCCGGGACATCTCGCTTGTTTATCTCCATTCCGGCACTATTTCGGCATTTCTCCCATGTGGATCTCTATACCGGCACCATTTAGGCTCTTCCCGTTTGTGGTTCTCCATTCCGGCAATTCTCGCTTGTGTATCTCCATTCCGGCACCATTCCGGCACCATTCCGGCACTATTCCGGCACTTCTCGCTTGTGGATCTCCATTCCGGCACCATTCCGGCACTTCTAGCTTGTAGGTCTCCATTTCGGCACCATTCCGGCACTTCTGTCTTGTAGGTCTTCATTCCGGCACCATTCCGGCACTTCTCTCTTGTAGGTCTCCATTCCGGCACCATTCCGGAAATTCTCGCTTGTGAATTTCCATTCCGGCACCATTCCGGAAATTCTCGCTTCTGGATCTCTATTCCGGGACGATTTCGGCACTTCTCGCTTGTAGATCTCTATTCTGGCAACATTTCGGCTCTTCTCGCTTGTGGTTCTCCATTCCGGCATTTCTCGCTTGTGGTTCTCCATTCCGGTACCATTTCGGCACTTCTCGCTTGTGGATCTCTATTCCGGCATCATTTTTACACTTCTCGCTTGTGGATCTCCATTCCAGCACCATTCCGGCACTTCTCGCTTGTGGATTTCCAATCCGGCAACATTCCGGCACCATTTCGGCACATCCCACTTCTGGATCTCAATTCCGGCAACATTTCGGCATTTTCGCTTGTGGATCTCCATTCCGGCACCATTCCGGAACATCTCGCTTGTTTATCTCCATTCCGCCACCATTTCGGCACATCTCGCCTGTGGATCTCTATTCCGGCAACATTTCGGCTATTCTCGCTTGTGGTTCTCCATTCCGGCAATTCTCGCTTGTGTATCTGCATTCCGGCACCATTCCGGCACTTCTCGCTTGTGGTTATCCATTCCGGCACCTTTCCGGCACTTCTAGCTTGTAGGTCTACATTCCGCACCATTCCGGCACTTCTCTCTTGTAGGTTTCATTCCGGCACCATTCCGGCATTTCTCGCTTGTGGATCTCCATTCTGGCACCATTCCGGCACTACTCGCTTGTAGGTCTCCATTCCGGCACCATTTCGGCACTTCTCGCTTGTGGATCTCTATTCCGGCACCATGTCGGCTCTTCTCGCTTGTGGTTCTCCATTCCGGCATATCTCGCTTGTGGATCTCCATTCCGGCACCATTCCGGCTATTCCCGCTTGTGGTTCTTCATTCTGTAACCACTTCAACACTTCTCGTGTACGGGTCTCAATTTCAGCACATCTCTCTGGTGGATCTCCATTTCGGCACTTCTTGCATGGGGATCTCTATTCTAGCACCATTCCTATACATCCTTTTGTGGATCTCCATTCCGGCACTTCACATTTGTGGATATCCATTTCGGCACTTCTCGATTATGGATCTCCACTCTGGCACTTCTCGTTTGTGGATCTCCATTTCGGCACCATTTCGGCACTTCTCGCTTGTGGATCTCCATTCCGGCACCATTCCGGCACTTCTCGCTTGTGGATCCCCAATGCGGCACCATTAAGGCACCATTTCGGCACATCTCGCTTGTAGGTCTCCATTCCGGCACCATTCCGGAACTTCTCGCTTGTGGATCTCCATTCCGGCATCATTTTTACACTTCTCGCTTGTGGATGTCCATTCCAGCACCATTTCGGCACTTTTCGCTTGTGGATCTCCATTCCGGCACCATTCCGGGACATCTCGCTTGTTTATCTCCATTCCGGCACCATTTCGGCATTTCTCCCCTATGGATCTCTATACCGGCACCATTTCGGCTCTTCTCGTTTGTGGTTCTCCATTCCGGCAATTCTCGCTTGTGTATCTCCATTCCGGCACCATTCCGGCACTATTCCGGCATTTCTCGCTTGTGGATCTCCATTCCGGCACCATTCCGGCACTTCTAGCTTGTAGGTCTCCATTTCGGCACCATTCCGGCATTTCTGTCTTGTAGGTCTTCATTCCGGCACCATTCCGGCACTTCTCTCTTGTAGGTCTCCATTCCGGCACCATTCCGGAAATTCTCGCTTGTGGATCTCCATTCCGGCACCATTTCGGCACTTCTCGCTTCTGGATCTCTATTCCGGGACCATTTCGGCACTTCTCGCTTGTAGATCTCTATTCTGGCAACATTTCGGCTCTTCTCGCTTGTGGTTCTCCATTCCGGCACTTCTCGCTTGTGGATCTCATTTCGGTACCATTTCGGCACTTCTCGCTTGTGGATCTCTATTCCGGCATCATTTTTACAATTCTCGCTTGTGGATCTCCATTCCAGCAGCATTTCGGCACTTCTCGCTTGTGGATCTCCAATCCGACACCATTCCGGAACCATTTCGGCACATCTCACTTCTGGATCTCCATTCCAGCACCATTTCGGCACTTCTCGCTTGTGGATCACTAATCCGGCACCATTCCGGCACCATTTCGGGACATCTCACTTCAGGATCTCCATTCCGGCACCATTTCGGCACTTCTCGTTTGTGGATATCGAATCCGGCACCATTCCGGCACAATTTCGGCACATCTCGCTTGTGGATCTCCATTCCGGCACCATATCGGCACTTCTCGCTTGTTTATCTCCATTCCGGCACCATTTCGGCACTTCTCGCTTGTGCATCTCTATTCAGGCACCATTTCGGCTCTTCTCGCTTGTGGTTCTCCATTCCGGCACTTCTCGCTTGTGGATCTCCATTCCGGTACCATTCCGGCAATTCCCGCTAGTGGTTCTCCATTCCGGCACTTCACATTTGTGGATATCCATTTCGGCACTTCTCGATTATGGATCTCCACTCTGGCACTTCTCGCGTGTGGATCTCCATTCCGGCACCATTCCGGCACCATTTCGGGACATCTCACTTCTGGATCTCCATTCCAGCACCATTCCGGCATTTCTCGCTTGTGGATCTCCATTCCGGCACCATTCCGGCAATTCCCGCTTGTGGTTCTCCATTCTGTAACCATTTCAACACTTCTCGTGTACGGGTCTCAATTTCAGCACATCTCTCTTGTGGATCTCCATTTCGGCACTTCTTGCTTGGGGATCTCTATTCTAGAACCATTCCTATACATCCTGTTGTGGATCTCTATTCCGGCACTTCCCATTTGTGGTTCTCCATTCCGGCACTTCTCGCTTGTAGATATACATTCCGGTATCATTCCGGCGCTTCTCGCTAGTGCATCTCAATTCCGGCACCATTCCGGCACTTATCTCTTGTAGGTTTCCATTCCGAAACTTCTCGCTTTTAGGTCTCCATCCCGGCATCATTTTGACACTTCTCAATTGTCGGTCTCCATTCCGGCAGCATTTCGGCAGTTCTCGCTTGTGGATCTCCATTCCGGCACCATTCCAGAAATTCTCGCTTTTGTATCTCCATTCCGGCACCATTCCGGCACTTCTCGCTTGTGGATCTCCATTCCGGCATTTCTCGCTTGTGGATCTCCATTCCGGCACAATTCCTGCACTTCTCGCTTGTGGGTCTCCATGTCGACACCATTCCGGCACTTCTCGCTTGTAGGTCTCCATTCCGGCATCATTTTGACGCTTCTCGCTTGTGGATGTCCATTCCGGCACAATTCCTGCACTTCTCGCTTGTGGGTCTCCATTTCGGCACCATTCCGGCATTTCTCGCTTGTAGGTCTCCATTCCGGCATCATTTTGACGATTCTCGCTTGTGGATCTCCATTCCGGCACAATTCCTGCACTTCTCGCTTTTGTATCTCCATTCCGGCACCATTCCGGCACTTCTCGCTTGTGGATCTCCATTCCGGCATTTCTCGCTTATGGATCTCCATTCCGGCACAATTCCACCACTTCTCGCTTGTGGGTCTCCTTTCGGCACCATTCCGCACTTCTCGCTTGTAGGTCTCCATTCCGGCATCATTTTGACGCTTCTCGCTTGTGGATCTCCATTCCGGCACAATTCCTGCACTTCTCGCTTTTGTATCTCCATTCCGGCACCATTCCGGCACTTCTCGCTTGTGGGTTTCCATTCCGGCATTTCTCGCTTGTGGATCTCAATTCCGGCACAATTCCTGCAATTCTCGCTTGTGGGTCTCCATTTCGGTACCATTCCGGCACTTCTCGCTTGTAGGTCTCCATTCCGGCATCATTTTGACGCTTCTCGCTTGTGGATGTCCATTCCGGCATCATTTTGACGCTTCTCGCTTGTGGATGTCCATTTCGGCCCCATTCCGGCACTTCTCGCTGTGGATCTCCATTGCGGCATTTCTCGCTTGTGGATCTCCATTCCGGCACAATTCCTGCACTTCTCGCTTGTGGGTCTCCATTTCGGCACCATTCCGGCACTTCTCGCTTGTAGGTCTCCATTCCGGCATCATTTTGACGCTTCTCGCTTGTGGATCTCCATTCCGGCACCATTTCGGCACTTCTCGCTTGTGGATCTCCATTCCGGCGCCTTTTCGGCACTTCTCGCCTGTAGATCTCCATTCCGGCATCATTTCGGCACTTCTCGCTTGTGGATCTCCGTTCCGACACCATTTCGCCACTTCTCGCTTGTTGATCTCCAATCCGGCACCATTCCGGCACCATTCTGGCACTTCTCGCTTGAAGGTCTCCATTCCGGTTCCATGCTTTTCAGCCAACATTATTCATCAAAAATCGACCACCTCTCCATTGCCCTCCTGATCACACTTTCTTTTGTTCCTGCACGTTAGTAGAATATCTGTAACCCTTTGTTTCTTAGAGGCTTTATTGCCTTTTTTGAGGTAAAGTCAGGTAAAAGAAGAATTATAATTATTGAACCAAAGTGGTAACGGTTATTACGCTAGTAAATGTCTCGCTACGATATGCCAGTTTTGCTTTCTCGGCAATAAACATAAATAGGAGAAATCATTTTGATTACAGTTTTAGCGTAAATACGTGATTTTATTTCATGCTGTGACAAGATCGTGTGCTGAATTCATTAAGGAAATGAACGTAGCAAGAAATACTTTGGCTAACAGCCGAATTTGAACATATACTGAAGCTCTCATTAGTTATTGCCATTGACTTCCTGCCTACGGACACTGTAGATAATTATTAAACTGGTATCCTAAAAATTCAATTAAATACACATAGTCGCTGGCCGCAAGCGCCTCTATGCAAATGTGAATGTTGACCCTTGCATATAAACAGCTACATATTGAACGCATAGTTTGTAGAGAGCAAATCAATATGAAGCCGAGAGCATCGATATGTGATGTAGAGTCTGTATATCAGATTTAGTTTTGAAACTTAAATATGTCCTCAGGTCAACCAATGCAAAGACCACATTACCATACTTCAGTGATTATTATATATATATATATATATATATATATATATATATATATATATATATATGTATATATATATATATCTATATATATATATATATATAACGAATGATTTATATATATATATATATATATACATATATATTTAGTATATTTATGTGTATACATACATGCATACATACATATATATATATATATATATATATATATATATATATATATATATATGAGCTGGGATGTTCTAAACTGTTTAACATATATAAATGTAAATACCAGGAAGTAGAAGCTGAAATTCTGTAACCCTGTCTCTATCTCTCTCTCTATCTCTCTATCTCTCTCTCTCTATATATATATATATATATATATATAAGGAAAATTATTATTATTATATGCTGGCGAGAATAATAATAATAACTACATCATTTATATCTATGCTATATATATATATATATATATATATATATATATATACTCGACTCTCCCGTCGAATTCGACGTATGAGAGTCAAGCAGATCAGTTCCAGGAAACCGACTGCTCTACAACAGCACATGAGATTTGATTATAGTGGTGAAGGTTTCGTGCAGGACCATGAAGGGCCGATTACAGTGACTTGGTGAACTACGTGCCACAGGGCCTCCAAATGACCCTCCACAGTTTTTGAATTCAGAATTGTCCTTCTCCTAGACCAGTTACCAACCAAGGCTATAGAATCCAGTCTGTCCTGCTGGAGGCAGAAGAAGAGGATTTCACACCTTTATTAGCACGTAATGGATTCGATTGGAATTCGAACTCGGCTCTCCGATTCCTCTATCCAAGCCTTTATCCATTACTCCACCGCAACACACACACACACACACACACACACACACACACACACACACACACACACACACACACACACACATATATATATATATATATTAATTGATTTAAAATATGTTTTTTTTCGCTACACAGTTCTAACCATGTTTCAAAAATGAAAGCTAAAAGCCCCGAATTTAATTTTGTGATTAAATTAAAGACATTAGTTCCATTTCATCCTCAAGCGAATTTTGGAGTAACTTTTTAAAATTACTTGGTTTTAAATACACAACTAAAACAAAATTCATGTTTCAAGGTTACAGAAAATCTATTTTTTCTAGACAGGGGGTGACTGGGTGTTCAATATGTCTATAATTTAATGTATCAGTTATTGCTACGTTTGGGTAGTGGGAAGGTATTATCATATATATATATATATATATATATATATATATATATATATATATATATATATATATATATATATATATATATATATATATATATATATATTACATATATATACATTTTGTGGTGACATACACACACAATAGACGATCTAATCTTAAAGATCAGAAGGTTGAGAGGGGGAGGAAAAGAAGAGAAAAGAAAAGGGTGGGGAGAGAGATGGGGTGGGGAAAACTAAAACTGAAGGGCATTTATAAAAGGGCCGCTGTGTAATTAAGAAAATTTGACAAAGTTAATATCGACTACAGGTTACAAATGAAATATAAACATATAAAAAAATAAACAAATATAACGATTATCTAATCTAGGAAGGACCTATATTTCTATGTTCAAAAACACATGCGTATACACGCATACACGCATATTTACACGTACATACATATAGGCGTGTACACACATGCATATATATATATACCCATGTATACATATACATATATATATTCATATACATATATATATATACACACATACATATACATACACTCACATATATATACACATACATACATAAACACACATACATACATACATATAAACATACATCCATACACATTAATTCCTACATATATATACATTTACACACATATATACATACGGACATACACATACGTGCACATAAACATATATACATAAAACCTTACATCCCATACAATTACATACACCCATCTAAACAATGTATCACTTTATCTACCGTCTAACTATACATACATACATATACAGATATATATGAATATATACATATCAAAACATACACACAGACATATAAACACATTTACATATACATCTATCTACATATACATACATCCATATATATATATATATATATATATATATATATATATATATATTCTTTACAAACACTAAATACTCTCACTGCAACAATGTTTTCTAAATATATCTGGGAGATTAAAAAAAAAAAAAAACAAAAACAAATAATGCCAAAAAATGTTATAAAAAGTACAAAAAATAGCATCAGCCTATAACAATAATTCAATATATTGCATAATTACCTTCCCAGATCAACACAAATTACTGAATTAACGATCAGAAATAATTTCAAAATGCAGACATGAAGACAAATTTTTTTACTAAAAACGAACAAGAGTAAATACAAATAAAGAAGTCAAATAAATTTACCAAAACCAATAAATAAGTAAATAAATTAAGTAAATAATAAACAAATTAAGAATCTACTTACGTACACATGAACACAAATAAATGCAATAATAAGAACCAATAATAAAAACGATCAATGATAAATAACTATCAAGTCAACAAATATAAAATAGTCACAAAGCTGAACCCGGGTTCACTGAGGTCAACACTGAATGGCGGCAGTGGTATTCTTGCTTCGACGCAATGTTCAGGTTTGAAGATTTCGTTCAAGCATGAAACCGCTTGGTACTGACCTAATTGTCCGCTTTTATCTTTTATATTTACATACTCTATATCGAATAATGAACACGATTACTCATAAATATAGCAAACACATACACACACGCATATACGTACTTATATATGACAACCTACAAAAATGAAACCAAGGATCCAATATGCAACTGCAGAAACAGAACAACATGTCCACTCCAGGGAAATTGCCAACTTACGAACACAATATACAAGGCCAAGGTAAGTACAAACAACAACATTATGCACTACATCGGTGCCACCGAAGGTCCATTCAAGATGAGGAATAACAATCACAACCTTTCATTCAACAACAGGAAATATTCGAACAGCACAACACTTTCTACATACATATGGCAGCAAAAAGACAAAAATATCACACCAACAATAAGTTGGGAAATATTGAAAAAGCCCCTGCCTACAACAACATTACAAAAAAATGCCTACTTTGCCTACACGAAAAAGTAGCAATAATATCACACAAACCGCAAAAGAACTTACTAAACAAAAAATGAGAGATAATCTCCAAATGTAGGCATAAGAACAAGTACCTATTATCCGAATTCACACCAAACGGATAAAATAGACAAACCACCAACAATCACAATTTAATTTCAAAATACCATCAAAATAATTGCATCTATAATTATTATCATTGCACCACCATTAGTAATCACTTTTACCACTTTACAATAACTATTAACTAATAATATTATCATTACCACCAACACCCAGCACCATCACTTACACATCACACCTACTATTAACATATAAATCCACTACAATCTTTAACGCATATTACTCCCCCAGAATATTTAATACCTTAAAACAATAAGTTCAGATATAATTTCCATATGTAACCATGAGAATAAACACCTATTCCAGGATTCATAATAAATAAAAATAAACAAA